GTAGAGGGGAAGAGAGAGAGAGAGATATGCACGGCAAGCTTAATGTTCTTCTGAGCCCTCTTCCTTTAGAATTCATTGTTTTGCTAAAAAGGGAATATAAAGAAGAATAGATCACATGAGTCCCTGAAAATGGTTGGAATCACTGGAAGGATGGACTTTAATGTTAATGTTAGCTTTTCTTCCTGAAGAAATACTCTCTTAAATGCTCACCAGTGAAAAATCCTCAATACCAAAAACAAAATATTAATGTTCATAACAGTAATAATCAGAACTGTTCATTGAATCCATGGAGCTCATTCTACAAATTTTAAATGGGACACTGTTTACCATTACTGGATAGCTGTACAGTCATTTATCTCCAAGGCTATTGGTTTTTTCCCCTCCCCATTCATGCTGTTTCCATTATTACATTATTATAGGCTTGAATTACATTTTGCATTCATTGCAAATGAGTTGCTGTAATTATGCCTGGGTAGTGCAGAATGTTTAATGGGGCCTTGGTCAGTTCCTTCCAATTAATCAATTTTCCACAAAAAGAAAACTCACTTTTGGAGAGTTGGTCACGCTCCCCACGTCTACAGTACAGAGTTGGCAAACAAATCAATAAGCCTGAATAAATAAGCAGCTCCAAAATCAGAGTTTTGCATTGGCCTGTGATGCTGGAGTGACATGCGGGACTGATCGGTCATTTTGTCTCATTACTTACCCAGAAACCAGAGGATGAAACAACTGATGTTTACATTTATTTCTGGGACTAATGAGGATGAAGTGAATTATACTCTAATTACGCAGTAAGGAATCTGGAAACATTAGTCCTAGGGTACCATGGCAGAGTACATTGTTCAATGTAGCTTCTATATTAAGCAGAAACTGTGCAACTGTGCCAGGAGTATTTATTCTTCAGTCATAATTATGTGTTGGTCAAAAGGTTAGTTAATAAACAAACTAGAGCTTCAGCACCCTGGACAGCTCCACAGAGCAGTACTTGACTCTAAGGGATATTGTGTTGTTCTGTGTTCAAAAGGAAGTAGCCTAAGTTGAAATGATCAAAGGAAGGAGAGAACAGAGAAGGAAAGAGGTTTATTCCATTTTAAATGTTAAGAAACTAAAGATCTAAAGATGAGGAAAAGGGGAAAGTCAGAGACTGCCCAGGGGTCAGTAGCATGGATGCCTCCATACGGCACAGCACTGCAGTAAGTTCTGTGGGCACAAACAAAGAAGGAAAGTGAGGGCAGGAAAAAAAGAAGAAGAAGAAAGAACTGGAGAGCAAAAGAAACAGAAAAATGACAAACTAGGGCAGAGAAAGAAAGAAACTCTAGTAGCATTCACTCTCCCACCTGCTGCTGTTTCTGTTCATTACATCCGTCACAAATTTACAACAACGGCCTATCAACAACATAAAAGTTTAAATCAAACTTTGGCTTTCTTTTTCTCCTTTGTGTGTGTTTCTGTTCTTATACAGCAAAACATGTATCTGTAATCTCATTTTGATTGTAGTCTTATCCTAACAGTTGGACTCTGGCTGCGGTGATGTGTGTTCACTGCTCATCAGTTCATCTCAAGCCACTGGATGAGACTGACAGCAGGGCTATACATGACTAGAATCTTTCACACCAGTCTTAGAAAGCCAGTTCTTCGTGGACTTGGTTTGACTCTTTCTCCAAACTGACGCATAGTTGAAACCACACTCTTGCCCAAAACACTATGCACTTTGATATAGAACTTTACATAAAATGGAAATAAGAGTACCAACTCATGAAAAAAACAAACAAACGCCAGTTTAAAAGTAAATCAGATTATCTGAGCAAAAGCATCTGCACAGAAATTGTGTTAGTGTAAATACAATCTATTGATTATGATTATTTTTTTACCCTAAGTAAATAAAATTCAGTATAATATTGGTATTGATCTTTCCTCAAACCTGACAAGAAAATTAGATTCTCAATTTGTGATTTCACTAAATTACAAATTATTCATTTAAGGACAGTTGGAAGACTGGTGCTTATCACAGAGACCACAGCACCAGGGGGAGTCTGGAGCTGATTGTAGTGCGCTGTCATTCTCAAGAGCACTCCATCAGCAACAAATGGACACAACTGGTTATGGTGGGGATGTAAATATAGACAGAGGGAGAGGGAGAACAAGAAACCGAGACACAGAAACAACAGGGCACAACGAGATAACAAATGTTGGAAAATGGTCTTACTGCTGTTGCTGCTGATAAGCAGAAATTAATGTCAGGTTGTTTTTTTAAAACATAGCAGACAGTATTTCCTCCAAACACACAAGGACATCTGTTCAATCCTCCTCTTATCCTTTCAAGACCTCTTTGCTTCCTCCACAACCTGGGTGTCCACTCTATCTGCCAGAGCTGAGAGCTGATTTAGTGGTGGCTGCTGTTCACAGGCTGCTGCTGGGATACGGTGCCCTCACCATGCTCTTTAATTTGACACTGAACCTCGTAATTGATTTTCTCAAGGCTGCCCATCCCTATCTCCTGACTACAGTAAGAGAGAGAGTGTGTGTGTGTGTATCTGTAAACTTGAGAGTGAGTGACCAGTTTTGGTCTAATCCTCAGGTGTGTCATTATTTCTGACAGGCCCGGCACACGTGCCAAATTAGCAGAAGCTTACTGCTGTCCTGTGTATGCATTATGCAAATCATTGCACATGCTGCAATTACATTTGATCACATGCATTGATGACTGGATACTTTTTATGATTTTGAATTGCTCTGTTTATTCGCTTCAAATGGTTCCTGCATTTACTTTGTCATTTTGGATTTCTCCTTCATCCCACCTGCATCATCTGTCATTCATTAACCTTGAGTTAAGAGCCAACCTGATCTTTCCTTCATCCTCCCTCCAGCTGGCACATGACTGACACATGCCAGACTTACTCATAATTACATATTATCCAAATAAGCCAAGTAAAGGACACAAGTGTGTGTATCTAAAGCAGGTGAGCACTGTAAAAACAGTCCACTAAGCCTGAGGGTGTCAGTTGGTGTTAGGTGCTTAGATTTCCTATCATGACTCAACACAGCGTCTCATCACATCAAAGACATTACCTGCACCTTGATCATCTCTCTGGCAACACACAGAGAGAGGATACTGTGAGAAATGCAACTATAAAACTATTATGTTGCTTAAAATCTCCTGGTTCAAAATGGGCCTTTGTGAGAGTAAATACAATCAGCCCACATAGAGTATCCAAACCAAATCGTTACCTTGTCTGTGTTGACTTATTTCTTACAAAAGTCTAGGCATTGTCTTGTCTAGTATGTGTTTGTTAATAAAACAACAATCACATTGCTCTCTCTTAGATTTCTTTTTGTTGCATCAAAAATTCTTTTATCCAAAATATCCCTTTTTCCAACTTCTCCCACTTTAATGTTGCATTTTTAAGACATTTGTTTATTCACTAAATGGCTTTTCTCTCTTCTCTTTCACAGTGTGCAGCTTCTCTTCTCTCTTTGATGGATGTTCATTAGTAAGTTAGGATGAAAATGACAAACCAGTATATAAAACCATTATCTTATAGGCCTAACTCTGTTAGCTATGAAAGTGAGGAGCACAGGGAGGTTTGCACACTGCTGTACAAAATCATTACTGACTATGAGCATTCACTGCTTTGCACAGCTGCTGCCCACAGATGCGGGTGCCAGATTATGTACTGTGGTACAACTGCAATGCTCCTGGGTGATGGCAGTTCCATTTAAAACCTTATTTAATCTTTGTCCTTGCCCTGTAGCGTGGATGCTTGATATTGTCCATCACTTTAAAAAGCAGCTGGGGTAAGAAGTTGAAGGACTTTGTAGCAACTGTGAATAATGCAGTTTAAACCCACACACAGGGTTTTATACTATCTGTCTGACCCAACACAAAACTCTGCTGCGCCCGGAGGCAGGTGGAGTTCAGGGTTAATCTATCTCCCCTCCTGTGAAGATAGTCACATATCACCCACCTCGCTTTTTTTCTTTCTATCTCGCTCTCCCTCCCGTCTCACATGGAGTCTGCACCTCTCTTTCTGTGTTCCACCTGCCTCTTAATCTGTCCATCAGTCTCTCCGCAGACCTGCTCCTTAAACAGTACTCCACCTCTGGATGAATAAGAGATGAGCAGAGGGCTTGGGGGGAGGAGGAGAAGATGGATGGAAGGGAGAAGCAAAGAAGTGCAGCGGCATCCAGTGAGAACCCTGAGGCGATGGGAGTGTAAATGGATCTTGAGGCGCTGGTGTCACCTGTCCCAGGACCATTAATTAGTCATTTAGACTTGTAATGGAGCGAGCTGTAGCCAGACAGGCACAATCGGCCAAACAAAGTTAGTCACTTGGGCTGAGGAGTGAGCTGTGGGTGGTGATAACACTGCGTGTCCAAAGTGGGAAAATACAATGAACACTAAGTTCATATTAGATATGTATAATACATACAGACAGGGTCTCTTTGTTGATTTATGGGACTTTACAAATACAGTAAGTAAAGTATGTAGGGTCATTTATATGAGAACAGTATTACTTTACGCTTAGAATAATACAGGGCAACATAAAAGCCGCAGAAAGTGAAAGGGGTTCATGAAAGGAGCATAAAAACATTCATCTTGGGAAGGTAAACACACCAATAGTGAGAAAAAATGAAAAACAATGTAAGGTATAATATTAAAAGTTAGATAAATGTGATGGTAATGACACTTGTAATTTGTTTTATTTATTTGTTTTTTACTTGAATTACATCATGCAATAATTGAATCCATTCTCTTCTGCTAATCCAGTTCAGGGTCACGAGGTGGTTAGAGCCTATCCCAGCTGCCATAGGGCACGATTTTTTTCAGAAGACATTATTTTTAATTTGCAACATTACTATCTCAACAGATATTTAGAGTGAAAGGTGAATTATTCCATTTCAAGTTTGCATGTAAAGAATCTTAATAAAGCTCAGGGATCCACATTATTCACATCACTGTGCTTTCTGAAAGTATTTACTTTCATGTGAGGTATCACATTAACTCTCCACTTCAAGATTTGAAGTGTGAAGGCAATATGATCTGGAAATTAAACAGGGAGTGCCTACGATCAGACTCTTTCGAGCTCACGAACACTGATTTCTCAACGATCAAGTAACAACTGATGCAGATACTTGACCTCTCAAGAACATATTAAGATTAAATTGCAAAGTGCATTAGAGACACCCAAGAGCCCTCTGGGGTTATTATGACATTACACAATGTCTCTGGCCCTGAATGCAAAAAACAAAAATAGCAGCAGGTTATCTGGTGTTATATGAAGTAATAAATCATCTGTAACTTTCATAATGCTCTTTTATATGTTCAACCCAAAATCATTCAAAAATGATTACAGAATAATAACTTCGTCAGCACCTGGTTGGGATTAGGATTAGTTTACACATCTTCCTGGTCCATAATGAACAATGAGTTTCCCAAGATCACATAACAAACAAATGATATGGATACTTTGCTTGCATTGCCTCTGTTTAGATTGAATTACAAAACGCTTGATATCTGATGTTCAGGTGACCGCTGTTTGTCCTTCTGGCTGTTGAACGATGATACTGAGGCCCTCGAGGCAATTCAGACACTCCTCCTGAGGGGTGAAGTGTATCAGGACACCTTGGAAAGTGAATGAGCTGCCCGAGTCAGGGCATGACACCAGGGTGCTGCCAGTCTTGTTAGACGGGGTTAATCAGTCAAAGTGCTTGTTGATCCTGTTTCAGAACAATGCTGAGCTTTACTTTGTGTTTTTGTTCTTCTGTGTTCTACGTTCATTCATTTTTTTTCTCCTCCTATTTCAGATACAATAGTGCAACTTGTCAACTTGTAGCCATGTGGCTGTTCCTCTGAGATTATCCAACACAGTATTAAATGTTAAACGAGTTTATCTTTAATCCTTGAGGTCAGGATTAACAAGGTTAGGGTTTGGTTAAAGTTAAGAGTTCAGGTGTCTAGACTTCTCAAAGGTTATTGGTCAATCGAGCGACATGTGTTCATTACTTCATCTTTACATACTTACACTGGGTTTTCCAAATGTAGTAAAATGCGCTAACTAATAAAGAGCTACTAGAGCTGTCATTTAGAGTGCAAGTTTATGTAGTGAGTGTGGGCTGGCATCGCTCTTTCAACATCTCTCGATAAAACAATTCCTGTCATTGGGCTGTCCTCAATGGGCAAAGTCAGAGACAATATTTATGCTTGGCAGGACTGTTCAGTCACACTCACAGTACACTCAATCCATCAGCAGTGCTGCTCATCACTTCTGTCCACAGTCATGGCGAACTTTCCAGGGGCAAATAGCTGCTGTGCTGCTGTGCACTCTGGACAGCAGGATCACCGCCAGCGCTCTGGCCTCTCATTTATTCAATAATTAATGTTCGTATAGGTAGTGAGACGTGAGGTCTCCTGGATGGTGAGGGTGTGGTGTTCAGCAAAAGTTAATAGACACAAAAGGACATTTATTCAAATACTGTACATTCAGGGAGACATTATTTATTTATATTTTATGCCACTTAATATTCTGCAGAGGACTTAACTTTTTGTGTTTTTGTTTCACTCAAATTTCATTTTAAAGAAAGATGAACAGTAAAAACTCTTGAGTCATCTCTCATTGTTAAGCCACACTTACCTATGAAGCATTCAACCATAAAAAGAGTGATGAATCTAGATTTGATGCTTTTGGTTCAAATTGTTCTCAATATGTACAGGGAGTGCAGAATTATTAGGCAAGTTGTATTTTTGAGGAATAATTTTATTATTGAACAACAACCATGTTCTCAATGAACCCAAAAAACTCATTAATATCAAAGCTGAATGTTTTTGGAAGTAGTTTTTAGTTTGTTTTTAGTTTTAGCTATTTTAGGGGGATATCTGTGTGTGCAGGTGACTATTACTGTGCAGTAATTATTAGGCAACTTAACAAAAAACAAATATATACCCATTTCAATTATTTATTTTTACCAGTGAAACCAATATAACATCTCCACATTCACAAATATACATTTCTGACATTCAAAAACAAAACAAAAACAAATCAGCGACCAATATAGCCACCTTTCTTTGCAAGGACACTCAAAAGCCTGCCATCCATGGATTCTGTCAGTGTTTTGATCTGTTCACCATCAACATTGCGTGCAGCAGCAACCACAGCCTCCCAGACACTGTTCATGTTTTTCTTGAAGGATGCAGACTTCTTCCTGTACCACTGCTTGAAGAAGGTGTCTTCCAGAAACTGGCAGTAGGACTGGGAGTTGAGCTTGACTCCATCCTCAACCCGAAAAGGCCCCACAAGCTCATCTTTGATGATACCAGCCCAAACCAGTACTCCACCTCCACCTTGCTGGCGTCTGAGTCGGACTGGAGCTCTCTGCCCTTTACCAATCCAGCCACGGGCCCATCCATCTGGCCCATCAAGACTCACTCTCATTTCATCAGTCCATAAAACCTTAGAAAAACCAGTCTTGAGATATTTCTTGGCCCAGTCTTGACGTTTCAGCTTGTGTGTCTTGTTCAGTGGTGGTCGTCTTTCAGCCTTTCTTACCTTGGCCATGTCTCTGAGTATTGCACACCTTGTGCTTTTGGGCACTCCAGTGATGTTGCAGCTCTGAAATATGGCCAAACTGGTGGCAAGTGGCATCTTGGCAGCTGCACGCTTGACTTTTCTCAGTTCATGGGCAGTTATTTTGCGCCTTGGTTTTTCCCACGCTTCTTGCGACCCTGTTGACTATTTTGAATGAAACGCTTGATTGTTCGATGATCACGCTTCAGAAGCTTTGCAATTTTGAGACTGCTGCATCCCTCTGCAAGATATCTCACTATTTTTGACTTTTCTGAGCCTGTCAAGTCCTTCTTTTGACCCATTTTGCCAAAGGAAAGGACGTTGCCTAATAATTATGCACACCTGATATAGGGTGTTGATGTCATTAGACCACACCCCTTCTCATTACAGAGATGCACATCACCTAATATGCTTAATTGGTAGTAGGCTTTCGAGCCTATACAGCTTGGAGTAAGACAACATGCATGAAGAGGATGATGTGGACAAAATACTCATTTGCCTAATAATTCTGCACTCCCTGTATTGAGGAGGTCATGAGAGAGGTACAACAGTGAGCATCTACAGCCATCTGTGAAGGCTCACAGTGGAGGCTCTGTCAAGGAAGCCTGAAAAACTATTCCTAAAGACTACTTAAAAAATTACAAGAAACAATGCCTAAGAAAGTTCAGGCTATGTTGAAGAATAAAGGTTGTTATATCAAATATTAAGTTTCAGGCTTAGAATTGCACAAAATTTGTTTTTGCCTTCAGTGGGTGACTCAAAAGTTTTCCACATTGCTATATATTGTGCCGCACTCTTTCTACCCTATCATCAAGACTGATTTAAGGGCTTGTGTCCCCTTAGAAGTCAACTTGCCCAATGTTGATTAAGTTGCAATAACCACTGTGTCCAGCTGCTTAAAGTTTCTTGATATTATGAGTACACTCTGTGCTTTCTCTCTGAATCAAAGCATTTTACTGGACAACGCTGTTTCCTTGGTATTTAATCAGTCAAGCAATGAAATCTGTTTTTTGTTTTTTTGGGGTGGGGGGGGATAATTTAGGAATAATTACAGCATAGTGACCAGTTATATTTTTCCCTCTGAAGTTGGGTGCCCTTGAACATGACACCAAATTTCTACCTTCTCTGACCCCATTCTCATCTTGTGAAGGGAGAAAATGGAAAGGAAATTTCCCTATCAAGTGCAATAACAGATCGCTTTACATTACAAGAAGGGTAGACTGATGAATGAGGAGCATGAGCAGTCACTGAGGTAAATGGCTTCATCATCCATTCATGCTCCTCCACAGTGCTGAAAATACTCGTGCCATTACAGTCGGGAACAGAGCGGGACGTTCATAAGAAAGAAAAAAAAGGAGGCTGACAAGGGGGAGGGGGAGATTATTTTACATTTATTATAGTGAGGCAAATTAAAAAGGAGAGGTCATTACTTTTATCTGGCGAGAAGAGAGAGGGGACCTATTCTTAGCTTTTTACCCCTATGACAAGATAGATTACAGTTTTATGTGAGAAAGTTTCAGAACATCAAGCTGACTCTGCCAAACTTCAGTTTCATCAAACACACGCAAAAGAGAAATAAACCTTCTTGGCTTGTCAGATGAATATACTTTTATGGCAGTTATAAAAAAAATCGGGGAGAAAAAAAAGAGTTGATGGCCCTATATTTTTCACTTAACATATTTAGAGCCCCAGGTGGCAGAGGAGTATGCTGACACCACAGAATATAAACTAAGTAAATAAATAAATTTCCCCAAGGGCGACTTTCTCCTCAATATTTTTTATTTGCTTTTTGAGGTTCGAAGTATGTCGCACGCCTTATTGTTCCCTGGAGGTGGATGAATAATGTCAGCAATATTCAGCTTTCATATCTGGGAACATCATAACAAGAGAGCAGACAGCAGTCGGGGGACGGGAAAAAAGCCTTCAATCATGAAGTTCGTCAACAGCAGCTCCTCTTATTAGGATAATGTGATGGCAGTGAAACCCAAATTGTACTAAATAATACTTTACAGGTGTAAATATTAGATGATCACCTTTTTAGGAACTCAGAAGCAGCCAGAAGGTACATTTTACTTCCAGAAATGTTGAAAATAAGAAGCAGTGACAAGAGTCTTCATCCATGTGTGCAGCTCTGTGAGGCTGTGCTTGGAGCAATGATATTATGATAACAGTTTAATAATGGTGATCTTAAGCAGGACCAAAGCAGTTCATTTACAGACCAACACTGACATCCCCAGAGTCATACAGCCTGCAGATTGAAGTGTCAATCAAAACCTAACTTTGTATGTGTCGAGCTGCTTACTCATAAGTGTGTGACTGAGTTCCGGCAAGGTGAACAGGCTGTTTGGGAGAGCGATTGCCGGTGGGTCTGCTGGCTAAGCTCACCTTCACCTTGTCCTGTAGTGTGAACACCTCTAATGCACATGTGCCAAATTTAGCCTCTCCTCTATCCACAGCTCGTGATTCTTATTCAGCCCACAAGTGCTCGCTATCGTTCTCTCTCTACATCTAACAATGATTTGGATGCTGAGATGGTAGCCTGCAAAACAAGCAATAACTAATGAATGTTTCTATTTTTGGCCCAACAGAACTGGTTCCAATGCATCATCATTGTACTTAACATTCAGTCTTGATCGAGACTATGATTTACTGTCAGCGATTTTCATATTAGTTGATAATAACCTTGAGAGAGTGATGGAAATTTTATTTTTACATGAGCCCAGCCAAATTACCATCATCTGCATCATGATTCAAATGTCCTCTGCTGTAGAGAGAGGATGATAGATGGAGCATTGAAGACTGAAGGAACAAACCAGCTTAAAGGCAGACAGAGACACTGGAGAGGTTCGGAGTTTCAGAGGGAGTGCTCGTGTCAGGATGTGACAGTTTGAACATCAGGCTCTCCAAAGGGGCCAGCATCATCAGCAGGTTAAAACTGAAGGCTGATGAATAAGTGGGAAGGGGGGTTGATTGGATTATTCACATCCATAATGATCACAAACTTCAAACCAACTCAAAAATATTTAAGTACTGACTCTGTAATGGAATGCCTATCTATCCAGAAAGTGCCCCACCTCTCATCCGGTGTCTGTGGGGATAGGCTGACATTGGCTGGATTAATGGGATTTTATTGGGCATCGGCCCTGCTTTTGGAAGGGTAAACACTGCAAACTCAAATTAGAGCATTTGCTACGGTTCAGGGGAGGCTACGTAATGTCTGAAAAAAGAACCCCAGAGACTGAAGCTGAGAATGAAGCGTCAAGTTCACTCGTGGGCCTGCATGTGATTTTTGTTTTTGGTGCTTCTGCTTTCCCACACTGTAATTCAAATCACCACAGTGCTCCAATGGTTTTGGACTATTACATACTCTTTTTATGATAATTTATGGAATATATAAAACTGCTGAAATACTCCTGCTCCTATGATTTTGAGCATTGTCCCAGTCTATTGTGCTCTTTGTATGCTTGGGCAGTTGTATTAGCTTGCTGTCTGGCTTGTGATCATACCAATTGCTGGATTTTATGAGGGGGAAAACAGTAAACCTGACAGGAGAAAGAGACAGATCTCTTAAAAAGTCTCTTAGAGGCATTTCTTAACAACTGCAGATTCCAAGATCATTAGATCAAACAGCAACCCTCAGATAAGAGGAAATTTATACGGATGTTAAAAAACAACCCAGGAACTACCAGAGTTCAAGTCTGTCATAAACTGGAAACTGCTGGAACACCAATGTCACTGTCCACACTGAAGAGAGTTTTACATCGCCATGGACTGACAAGGTACAGACAAAAAAAAAAAAGCTTTTGCTGCAAAATCAACACCTTCAAGCTCGCAGACATTTGCAGCGGTGAACATAGAAAAGCCAATTCCTTCCAGAGACAAGTTTTATGGTCCAGCAGGACAAAGATTAAGCTATCTGCCCTAATGCCAAGATGTATGTTTAGAAGCGTAAAGGTGACGATTTCAAACCTAAAAACACGGTACCAGCTGTCAAGCACGGTGGTGGTGGTAGCATCATGTTCTGGGTCTGTTTTACTGTCAGTGGTACTACTACATTGCTCAAAGTAGATGGAAGAATGAAGGAGGAGGATTACAATCTCTTCAAATTAATCTCAACTGAACAGCTAGACAGTTAAAACAGGTACAGAGTTGAGTGTTCAAACAGGAAATGATCACAAACATGTTAATCAAAACTGGTTTTGGAATGAATAAATCAGTCTAGCATTAAACTTATGAAATGGTTTTCCCAAAGCCCTGACATCAACTGTATTGAAAATTTGTGGATTATGCTTAATAGCCAGGTCCATGCCAGGAAACCAACCACTTTATTCTTCCAAGAAGAGTGGTTGATCTACATGTGAGTGTATGTAAACCTCTGCCTACAACTGTAAAGCTGCATGGTTGTAATTTGGAGAGATGAGTTAGGCGTCTCAGCTGGTAGTGGCTCTGTCAGACTGTTAGAGATATCACCGAATATGCACAGCACACCACAGCTTTTTGTCTGTGGTCTGTCCATTTTTGATTGCATTATGTAGGAAAACATCTGATAAGATCGCAGCCTGTGGAAATGGGCTCAAATGGCACTGCACAGTGAAAATAACAAATCCACTATCTGATACTGCAACAGCCGGCAGACATCTGCAGACCTTTTCATGCTGATTGTGTTTGTCTTTCTTGTGCTCCTTTTCACCCCCTACCTCAAAAATATTTACCTAGCTCGTGTGATTTGTTTTGGACATGGGCTTGCATGTCTCTCTCAGCTCCTATTGAGAGTGATGTACACACAACTTATCTTACAAATGCAGAAGAAGAAGCAAACAAATTCGAAGAATTTCCCATTTGGAAATGTAAACACAGATGCAACAATGGGGACCTGAGGTATTTGATGATTAGTTACAAATAAGACAAATTTGGCTCTTTTGATACGTCTTTCTTTGGGTAACAAAGATTTTACTATTCAAGATGCATAGCTGAATTATATGTAGGATTATTATGAAAACTCTGTTATCTCTGATGTAGGGGATTTCAAGCTGCATTAGTGTAAATCTCCTATTATGCACTCCATCAGCTTCTTTTCTAAAGCCTATAAGCTGTGTTAAAGCTACAATCACTTGCATATTTGCCTTTTAACAATATCTCAGTTTACATTAGCTTATAAGAGGACAAAACATACAAAGAGACATGTTTTTCGAGACATTTGACCAAAGAGTGAGAATACTAAATTAATTTCATTTAAAAACAAGCGATTAAAATATTTGCCGCTTGATTGGCTAAACACTGAAATTTAGCATGACTAAAGATCTGAAAACTCTGATTATTTTGTCAAAAGGTTTCTTCTTATAGAACATATATCACCAAATGTTTTTGACTGCTTAGTATAGATGTGGATAGATGTATAGATGTGACTGGCATAACACCCACACAGTAATGTCAAAAGTCTTTTTTTGCAGATTTAAGGTCATGCCAAAGCATCTCAATTAGATTTTAGTTCATGCTAGCTGGGCCCACGTCCTCAATTTAGGTTTGACAGCATTTTAGTAGATAATGAATGACATGAATTAAGCTGCGGTTTGGGGAAGGCCTCCAAAGGGACTGGCGGCGGCTCCCAGGCCTAGCAGATTCCCATGTACTAAATTGAAGTGAAGAAGTTAAAGAATTGGAAAGGGGAAGGTGGGTGGGGCACGTAAACCAGAATGAACAGCTTGTAGAACTGGGGGAACATATATAGATAAGAACCGGAAGGAGCATGTTTGGAGACGTGGTCCCGCTTCTGAAATTTTGGTTCACATAAGGGCACTGTATAGATGTGCTTTAATAGTTCATTCACTCATTAAGGCCAGGCAGTCTAGACTTCTGTTGTATGATAACATCTTTCAGATTGGCTGCTGTGTGACATCATTTATAACAAAAAAAAATAAAATAAGGAAAGCCATCAAAATTGATTTTGCAGACATCGGTTTCTGTTTGCAACACTGATTTTCTGTTGACCAGTATATTTGAATTTAATAAGTAGAGTGAATCTTTCGGCTCCTTTCAGGAAGTCACACGCTTTAGTCACTGACGTTTCTGATGGTTGTCAGACTTTTTGGTTTACTTTCCAGTAAATTAAACATCTAGTGGATTTGGACAGCTCAATATTATTAATGATACTTTGTGCTCTGTGATATCCTGATGGACATTTTTCATTCTGGAATATCGTGATAAGAAATTTCTAACCACTTTCTAATGTGTTATAGAATACAGATCTGATTTTTTTTTTTAATCAGCACATTAATAGATGTTGAAAAGAATTTCATCTACAGTCTCAGTTTTCTACAGTTTTTAAGAGAGAATTAAAAGTTGACCTGAATGAAGACGTTATTCAGACTTAACTTTCAACCTTCTTCCCACAATCATCAGCAGGAATCTGCCCCATGGACCATTCTGAGTTCACTGAGGAGTCACTGCTCCCCAGCTTCTTTCACCAGCTGCCTCACCAAAGTTTTGTCTTGACCTTGACTTGTACGCACATCTTCACATCTGTCAGATTGGCTGCCCTCCAGACACTTGTGAGGTTTTAACTGGCACATGCCTCGGGACTTCCAGCTGTGATCATGATTTTATTGTCTTTGCCCAACATGAGCTTCCGCTCCTTTTTAAAAGCTAATGAACCTTTACATCAGAGCTTACTGTGACCTGAACCCTTATTTCTTCACTGTTGTGGTACACTAGTCTTTGTACTTCATCACTTACATGCAAGGCTTTTAATTGATTGACTGAAAGAGGAAAAATGCTCCAACACGTGAACATCACGCCGTAATGGTCCTATAAAGACTTTTAAGCTGAAGGTCTTGGAGGACATGGGCCATGTACTGTAGGTTCAGGAGTAGAAGCTACATCTTACTGTCCAGTCATTCAAGCATGAAATTGAATTAGTCACTGGACAATTGCTGCCATCTAAAGGTCAGACGGTTACCCATATTTATAGCATAGCTGAGGGTATGTACAGCACTACAGTGCTATAATATAATTTCTTCTTGTAAAAACAAGAACTTATAAAAAGACTATATGTTACCTGCAATGTAACAGCTTTCTAAAGACACAAAACAAACAAGGCCTGCAATCATGAAATTTCTCATATTTTAATGAGCTTCACAAAGTACAAAACTAATTATAGTTTGCTTTTTTTTGAAAACTACCCTTGTAAGCAGTCCTCCATGGCCTTCAGCTCCTGTAATTCATGGCAGTGTGGACCGCAGTGAAGGCAGAGAAGTCGCCTGACCTTGGGGATGACGGAGAGAGCTGCCCCTCGGGAACCACTGGGAGAAGGAGAGGAAAATGACGCAAAGGTTGTTATTTCTACAAATAAAGACAGTCAAAAACAGAACGTAGTAGAAGTTATGAGACTGTGAAGCTTTAGGCACTTGGCTCAGGTACGGTTTGTCGTCTTATTAAACCAAGTATTCTAAGTTTAGGCAATTACTCTGACAGCTGCAGTGTGACTGCACATTTAGCACTAGACACTAAAAAAGAAGGAACGCAACCTGAAATTTTTTTTCTGCCCACTCTCTGCACAACTTTTCTCACCCATTGAAGTGTAGCTGTGCTAATTTGAAGAGTTGTCGACCCAGTTCGACGCTTTCTTTTCCAAACTGGGAGGCAATGGCTACAGCGCTTCGCTCCAGATGGGATGCTGCACTATTCCAGTCACCTACAGAAACAGCAGAACACAAACAAAGCAGTAAGAAGACTGCAAAGATTATGCACAGATGCTTTTTGGAGGATTTTTTTAACTCCTCAGGGTGTTAAAAACCCAAACACCATTAACCACACAGCTCATATGCAAATACTCCACATCATTATTATGCGTACCCAGAGAAGCATAAGCTCTGGCTGTGGCATCAGCTAGCTCCCCCTGTAGTGGATGTGTCTCTGCAAGGATGAGACCAGACTGACACAGAGTCTTTTTTAGAAGTCTTAGGGCCTCACCTGGGGGAGGGTAGAAGAGAAGAATCACATGACAGTGATGTATTTCTATATTTGATTAGATTTAGATGTTTATTTTTAATTTTTTTACAAGCACCTGGCCTGTCTGTCTCCATGAGTTCCACAGCCTTCTCCAGGTTAACCCTGATCTCCTGCAGACTGTTGTTCACGTCAGATAAGGACATACAATGACTGCAGGATGAGCGTGAACATACAAATCCGGCTTCTCTGTCCTCACTCCTTTTCTGAAAAGTATTTCCAGTATTTTTAAATGATTAACATGGAAATGTCAACAGACATTGGGCAAATGGCCAGAAGAATGGACGGATCGATTTCCTTTAAAATTCTTTCATTTCCCCCCCCATCGTATCTAATTCAGGCTCATGGAGGGCTGGATATCAGCAGTCACAGGGCGAGAGGCTTGGCATACGCCGGACAAGTCGTCATTTGGTCACAGGGGAGAAATAGACAACAATTCACACTCACATTCACACCTATGGTCAATTTAACATCACAAATCAATATAGCCCCGTACATGTTTTGGACTGTGGGAGCAATTCAGAGTGCCCAGAGAAGATCCACAAGGACATGCCACACAAAAAGCCTCCAGTCGGCAAGTGGATTCAAACCCCTGTGAGCTGTGAGGCAAACCACTGCACTTATTGAATTTAGGGTCACAGAGGGGGCTGGAGTCTATTCAAGCTTTCATAGGATGAAAGAAGGGGTGCACCCTAGACAGGTTGCCAGACCATCACAGGGCTAACACCGAGAGACACACAACCACACAATCTGACATTTAAACGTACGTCGAGAATTAGAATTAATAATTAACTAACCAGCATGTTTTCAATTGCAACACTGTGCCCCCCATTAATCCTGAAAAAAGTCAATAATGATCTCATACTTTGAGAGATCCTTTGCACTTGATGCACAGGAGTCCAAGATCTCTGCCCTCAGCGCCTGGCTCCTGCTGTCTGGGCTCCTCCACGTCCTGCTGCTGTTGGCTACAGGCCTCACACTGACACAAGAAGTAGTACTGCTCTTGCAGAAGACGCCGGCGTTCCTGGGTCACCATCCTGCTGCTATGAGGACCTGAAGGGAAAATAAAATGAATGGTGAAAAATTGCTTTTATACACAAGGTTATGATACCATATTGATTCTAATCTATCTAAATGTTCCATCGTACATCATACCATAGCAGTGCAGGATCTCTTGTCCAGGAGTGATGAGTTTGGCTGCTCTGACTGTTACAGTGACTCCCTGCGCCTTGTGCCTCCATTCAGCTTCACCCCCACTGAAGTCTGCAGACAGAGCTGAACCAGAAGGCTCAATAATGCCTCCAGTGCTGAACACCAGGCTGGTGTTGGGGCAGCAAGAGTGATTGAGAAGACTAAGAGTCGGGAATACTGCAGTAGCAATGCGAATTTCCCTGTTGGACTGCACCGGTGAGTTTGTTGCTCCTGTGAGATGCAAAAAGCCAAAACAAAATGCAATTATAAAAAGGGACCTCGTGCGTAGTCGACACTACAGAGTATTCACAGTTGCAAAAATCAATAAGAAAAGTTTTATATATCCTTAAAATCCTTTTGAAGCAAAAATCTCCTAAACTTTCTGGTTGTGACATCCTAAAAGTAAACCTCTGTGGTCTTCTATGATAACCTGAAACTGAATTTTTGACCCAACAAGCAGTGTAAACATGTCCCATCATCCAAGCATGTTTAAATTGAGTTCCTCTTTAACTTCATTCTCACCCACATTTTTTATTACTGTTTTCGTTCCACTGAGTTAGAAAAAGAAGCAAAGTGAGTGCACTGTAAATCTTCCTCTGAAAGCGTCTGCTGTGTTGTCACACCTGAAGCAGCTAAAAAACGACTTTTATGCCAGTGGAATCGTTTTTAGTTGTGTCATCCATCAATTTCATCAAAGAGGGAACACGATTTTCTTTCTCATTTTTCTGCCTCTGACACGCAGCTGCAGCTGTTTATTCTAACTACACTCAATCTGAGCCAACTTAACAACACATTTTGCACCTGCAGTCACCTGTGTCTTGCAGCACGACTATTGCCTGGGCGTTACACCTCAGCTGTAGGATGTGCTGTAGAACTGCACTTCCCAGCATCCATAGCTCTGCATTCCAATCAGCGTCTCCTCCCTCCTTGTTTGGTCCCTGTGGGGTATGGCTCCATGATACAGGTGGTGGTCCTGCCTTGCTGAGCTTCAGGTAGAGTGTTGCTGCGGTGACCGCACACATGAAACGCAGAGCAGGGCTGTGGTGATTCAGGTGGTGCAGCAAGTTATACACATTCAGGTAAGAGCCCCCATAGGATGACGTAGAAGGATCACTCGAGTGATTATTAAAACACTCTTTGTGCTTGTCTCTGATTGACTCCCTTGCTAGTAGAAAGTTTTTTAACCCTGCCTTGAGAGCTAACCTCAGGGCGAGCTGTGACATAACGCCCATCGCCATCAGATCTGCTCCCAGCGCACACTCCCAGCGATGATGTTCTTCCCAGGCTTCCTGCTGACAACCAGTTGAACAGTATCGGCTGTAGCTACACCTGTCACATGGTACAAGAATCAGCGTTTCAGTCAAACACCTATGGCAACGCCTGTCCTCCACTCCAAACAACACTTCTCTCTCTCTGCCATACCGTCCCACCTTCCCTTTCACCTCCTCCATTCCTGGTAGGAGGACACAGCTGTACGGCCTGTCAGTGAGAATCACCTCCCCGGCTGCAATTCTATTTACAGCCACCAGGTGTCGACCTTTCTCCACAGTGGAGTCAACAACAACTTGAGGACAAATCCCAACTGTGAGAGGCCCAACAGATGGTGAATTTGCTGTGTCTGAACCTTTACAATCGTTTGAGGCAGGGTTTTGATCATCCTCCCTTCCCTTTTCATGTACAGAGAGATGTTTAAAGCACAGAGTGCGGCGGTCCTCCAGTTTGTGTAAAAGATGAGAGGGATAGCCATTCTTCACGGCTCTGTCAATGTCATCAAGGCATTCCTGAGGAAAACAGAAAAGCTGGAGCGTAAACAATCACAAAATCAAAGACTGTGAGCAAAACATAGAGATGACAGACTTTTTACTAACTCATGAATTCTGCACTGAACCGGAGGGGTAAGGCTTAGAAACCTGTCATAAGAAGACTGAGAAAAGGAATACTGGAGGCATTTTTTAAGGACAGTAAGCAGTGCTGTGAATGCTACATACAGATTGTACACAAATAATCACTTTTATCATTCTGACCCATTTCCCATGCCTGCTAAGCTGTTGCAAGGTTTTACATATGAAGTATGATTCTGCCAGTTACAGCTCTGGCTATGGTTAGGTAGCCTAGCTATCATAATGATGGTCTGTGCACTGTCTGTCGAATAGGCAGCTGAATTAGGGGGGTCAAATAAGGTCTAGTCAATGCACTGACACACACATCATTCACAGTTCTCTATTCTCATCAAACCTGCTGTTGTCTATTTAGAGGACTCGGAAAAGAGCAGTTTAGATTTAGGCCAACATGAATTTGAGAGAATTTTAGTGTGAGGACAGCATTTGAGTTGGTGTGGTGGTTGTGATTAGGATTTGCTTTAAGTCTGATGTTGAGAGTTTGTACCACACACTTAAACCCGAGATTGACAGTCAATGTGATTCAAAAATACTTTGTTTAGTCAAGGGACTGAGTATATATTGGAGAGATAGTGTACATATACTGGATTAAGGATGTTTAAGATGGTGCACGCAGAAGGAAAAAGGTGGAAGACCACAGAGAAGATTCATGGACTGCACTGAAGAAGGATGTTTAGAGGGTTGGTGTGATAGAAAAAGGATGTCAGGGAAAGGCTGAGATGGAGACAGATGATCTGATGCAGCAACCCCTAAAGGAAGGAGGAGTAGAAGCAGAGGAAGGAGAAGAAAAAGAATCTGCTATGATTCCAAGAAGAGAAGTTAAAGAAAAAAAGCAAAAGAGTTCATTTTGTTCTGCGATCTGAACCTTGGATGAATGAAATATGCAGTAGTGCATTCTTTCCTTGTTGGATAGGTTTACTGTTGACTCATGGCACAAACGTTAAAAACCACGGCGGGTTTAGACCTATAATCCCAGTGATTATGGTTAGGATAATTAACTAGTTTTGTTTTAACTCTTTCTTAATCCATTAGGAGGACCCTTTCTGAACTGAGTGGTTCCTCTCATATGTCAGGTCTGCTTATAGAACAAAATGACTGTTTGCGTCAGATATTAGTGAGGGTGGTCTCTACTTATAGAGCTACCCTTGGAAAAACCTGAAAACTATTCTAATAGTCGCCAAACCACGTCTTTATTGACATATACAGAGGTGTCAAAACTCCTCATTACGGATACCGGGGAGGTTGTTAAATGTCATCTTTATTAGAGAAAAGAGTTAAAGCCAAACCAGATGGGGTTCGGTTTAGACAGTTATCAAGATTTTGCTAAACATGCACAACTTCATAAACTAGAATATCTAATTCACGCTTCCCATTTGAAGGTGTTAAAAATTTAATAAACTGATAATAACTTATTTGACATGTTAGGCTTAAACATGAGAAACTGCAGGAATTACTGCTTTTTAACTTCGCTCAGTTGAACTTTTTTAAAATCTTTTTATTCCTGTTTTTTGGTAGATTAATGTCCTCCCACAGACACTTCCTAACCATACAGGCTTATTATACATCAAGTAATGGAGAGCAGGGTTGTTACTGTGGACTCAGCTGGTGCTTCAAAACTCTTACCTGACTTGTGAGGGGAGAACAGTGTGGAATTAGCAGTCAAAGGTATTTTATAACAGCTTCAAAAGTAAGTAGGATAAATGAATGCCCTGTACAGTTTTGACTTAATCCTAGTGCCTGGCACAAGTTTGAGAAATAGGATATTAAAAAAATATTATAATGCCCGATATTTTTTTATTTAATGAATCATAAAAAAAATCATTATAGAAGATGAGCTCCTGGTTGCAAAGCACCCACAGAGGTACAGTGACTTATAAATGGTTCCAGGTAAAGCTTCTGTGATGGAAACGGGTGTGATGTGAGGAACATGGGTATCCTTCCTGTTGGCCACAGCAAGAAAGTCTTCAGCATTGTTAAAAAAAGAACACTTATGCAGTCTTGGGTGCAGATCATCAACCATTTGCATGAGGATTTGAACCAGCACGTTTTTCTGTGCAAGCTTCCTACAGGCAATTGTAGCTCACACCATGACAACACTAGCCAACCACTGAGCACAGCTGGTTTTAATGGTGAAGGTGGCACAGACTCACCTGGTAGTGCTGCAGATGGTAGAGCGTAGCAGAGCGGTTGGCGTAGCACAGAGACAGCTGCTCCGAAGTACTGGGAGCAAAACAGATGCCCTGTAATAACAGGAGACAGTCGAGGTAGGGGTTTATGGTGGGCAGTGTTTTCATGTTTAAGGTGCTTAATATCAAAGGCATGCTTACACTTTTAGAGTCAAAATAAAATCCAGATACACCTCAGATGTAACAGCGATAGTCACCAGCGTAGTATTTCTTACTTAACTTACATCAGAGCTAGTATTTCACATTGTTTCACTGTCTCAGTGTTTACACACCACTCTGCATTTAATCATTGCTTATTATTAATCTCTGGCTTTATTCCACAGTGTGTCTTTTGTCCTGTCTTCCCCCCAATCACTCCAACCCATTGCAACATATAGCCACTCTCTTACTGAGCTTGGTTCTGCCGGATGTTTCTTCCTGCTAAAAGAAAGGATTTTTTTTTAACTTAATTAAAGTATCTAGGGTGCCTACAGTCCCAGAGTAAGATATAATATTGTTTCAAATTTACCTTTGAATAGTGCAGAGCAGCTGCAGTGTAGTTTTTAGTCTTGAAGCTGGAGTTTCCCCTCACCCTGCATTTGGCTGCTAGCTCTGCATCCTTCTGTACTGAATATGCTGCAGATTCCTGCTGCAAGAAGTCCAGATCATCTTGTCTGCAAAAACAAAAAGAACCCTTTAATAATACACAGAAACACAAAATAGGTGCAGAGCACTGTTCAAAAGCTTTTCTTGGACTAAAGTCCAGTTCAAGTGGTCCAAGCTGTTGCAGCTGCCTCAGAACTACCAGTCAGTGTAAGGTTAATAAAATAGGTTCGTAGTCTTAAATTCATTGGTACTACATGAGCTGAACTGGGTGCTTACCTCACGAGACTTAGACCACATCTGAAAACGTCATCTATTTCAAGCAGGGACGTAAACTGTTCCTTTAGTTTGGGCTCGAGAGCGCGCCACTTCTGTGCCACGTGATCTTGCCACTGAACGCACGGCAGATCCATTATGGATTACAACAGAACCGCGTCACCCTGCTGACAGGACCGCAGGACCGGAGAGTAGTTTGGGTTTGTTTTGAATTAGTTTCACATGAGCTCTCAGCGCTCTCAGCACAGCTGTCACGTTAGAGTGGACCAAACTACAGTTCCCGGCAATATCTTTCACAATAAAATCAAAACTGCAAACCCGTGGCTGTTCAAAGACCATCCTGTATGTGAAAATTGAAAAATATTCTCCTTATTAGGTTAATGACACAATTCAAACTAATCACATTGTCGTAAAACAATATTTTTCGGTAGTATCCAAAAATAATTCTGAAGCTAGGTTTCATTTTAGAGGTTATAAAATTGCTTTTCGTGACTATTTTCAAGGCGCTTTTCACATTTTGCACCGGAATCTGATTTGCCATGAAACAATATTCAATATTTTGATATTTGTAGTAATTCTGTGTGAGGGCAGAATTTAAATAAGTAAGTTTTGGAAACATGTGTTTAAAAGTAGTAACACAACTCTCCATACAAGTTGGATTACCTTTGGTGTTATTCAGTTTTGTTGCCCCTCGCCTTTGCAGTTTTGTTTTATTCATTTTTGGCTATTATACAAATACACACATAGTGGTGGTCACAGCTTTGTTGAATCTGTTTGTTGTATAAATACAAATAATGTAGTATGTATGTAGTATGTTTAGTTTTTAGACCAGTGCAGTAGCTACAGACTGAAACTATCAAATTAATATAATGTAACAGATTGGCAAAATAGTCAATGTCGTGCAGTAGCCTAGCATATCGTTTATTTTGAAGGCGTAAATGTGACACTTCCGGTCTTTTAACGTCTCGGCAAAGTGTCGTTTGCCTCTCTTCTATCGCGATAAGTGTCATGGCTTTTTTTGGAGCTACGTACCAGAAAAGCTAAACTCTGCAAGCTTTGAGATAAGCTTCACACGAGAGACATGAACGTACCTCTTACAAAAGGGGCGGTTGAAGTAAGCATAAACCTTAAACTGACTGAGCTGCTGTTTTCTCTTTGACTCCGTGTCTCAAGCTTGATTGTGGTGTGGTGTAACTTCAGGCTGCTAGCGCTGTGCGCTAATGTTTACCTTTGGTCCTAATGGTTCATCAGCTGTAGCATTACCAGATCAGTTAAAAATAAACTTTGTTGATTAAAAAAAAAAAGCTCTAAGAGCAATATTTGTGATGAAGAGCAAAAACAATCAGGCTGGGTCAACAGAACAATCTATTTTTGGGCTATAATGACATTTTACCTCTCGACAGTTTTTCGATAATATTTGACGTCTAGAGAAAGTGTTTGTCACCATCCACATGAGAAACAGAATAGATGGCAGTTTGTCCAATGGTTGTTACACTGTAACTTTGCCTTAGCAACACTGTAATATGTAATGAGGACAAACAGGCAGTTGTAACTAACGACGACTATGTGTGTTATTATTGATGTCTAGGCCCTGTGCAAAGGCTTAGATGTGGACAAGCCCGTGCTGCAGCTGCTGGTGAGTGGCTCTGTGGAAACCCACTTGTATTTCAGATTACATGATATGCATAGAAGCCTCTATTATAGCATAAGTACAGAGTATATGTGAGTATATATGAGTTATAATTACAATACCATCTGGAAGCTAAAGAATTTAGGTCTAGTTTTAGACTACTTATATTTTTCTTTTTGCAGTGCAACTTGACTTAACATTCAAGCACAAGCACAGAATAAAGACAGCATTTCCTTTTTCAATTTTGTGAGTAAAGGTTTCATGTTAAGTATTCTACGTGTTTTATTTTGCATTATGTTTAAATACAACTGTATATCATTCAGAAATTGTCACTAGTGGTCTTTTCAATGCAAACATTTGTTGTTAGTCTTTATGCAAAAACGACATAGTCAAGCAGAAGGCTCACGGTGTTTGGAGATGGAATGATCCAGTGATGTCATTGTGAAACACCTTTGCCATTGCAGATGGAGACGTAATAGAGATTGTACACGATGTATCAACAAGAACCATCTGATTTTAAAGTGCTTTAATTCCACAGCCACATGCTGTTAGAAAGAGGAGATTTGTGAGTTTCATGTGGTTGCTGGTAGGTAGCAGTCACTACAGAAATGCTCACAAAAGTATGAGACTCGGCAAGGAATATGTTGTATGGTATGTTACATATAGAGGGGGACACATTGAGAACTTCTCAACAGTGAAAGTTTTGTATGTAAAATTTTATGTACAGCCATGCTTTTTTTAGTTACTGCAAGCTTCTATTTTCATTACTTTATAAAAGATAACCTTTAAAAATCAGATGATTCTTTTTGTTACGCTCTGTATTTTTTCAATTCTTTGTTAAATTTGTAAAATGAATGAGCTTGCATCTCATCTTCTGATTTCATTGTATGATGGGCTCATTTTGAGCTGAGGCAAAGAGTGTTAACTCTGTCTCATGTGATAATTTCCTCTTCCTCACCTCTACAGCAGATCGTTTAGCATCTCATCTGTCCTCTGCTCTCTCCTGTTCTCTCCTCCTCTCACATCTCCTACTCACTAAAACAGCAGAGTCAGCACATGCAGACAAAATGCCTTTTTTTTTTCATTAGTCTGTGTTATGCTTGTACTTGTGTGTTAAACAAACACACATCAAACACAGGTGTCCACTGTACCTGTTTTGTGATTAGAACGTTTGATAACTTCTCAGCTAGGCTAGCTAGTTAAACATTTCCCTTCTTTACCACTCAGAGCTTACAGATGAGGCAGCGGAACCCTTAGGTCCTGACTCATCTGCTATCTCTGTGGAGATGTTCGAGGGAAAGGGCTGTGTAAATAAATGCCTGCTTGTTATAATTGATTTTATTGCTTCTTTGCTGTCATGTGTAAACAGAGCCGTTTAATGATTTCTATTAATATATCTTGGGACCTTTTGTTGTTTTGATTTTGACATCTTTCCTTCCCTCTCTGTTTGTCAGAACATCCGTCAGATCAGTAATGCCTCAAGCCCACCCAGGTTCCGACTGATGATGAGTGATGGCCAGCACTCTCTGACTTGTGAGTGTCCTCCAGTAGTACAACAACTTTTAAATTTGGAAGTGACACCAGAAATAAAAGTCAAAGATAATGTGGAGGTCTTAAATACTGAGATATAGCCAGTTAAACTGTGATATTTCTTTTTCTAGAAATTATATATGAAAATTTCTGTGTATTTTTGTGTCTAGCTTGCCTGCTTGCTACCCAGTTAAACTATTTATCTGAAGAGAACCTCCTGGTACCAAACTGTGTGTGTTTGTTGAAAAAGACCATCAACAACACTTTGGCTGATGGCAGGTATGTGTTGACTCTTTATTTCCTTTCTTCTTTTGTTTACTCATGTTTTCCCATTTGGTATAATTTTCACTTTTCTCCTTTTTTTTGTTCCAGGCGTGTGGTTGTTGTTATGGACATGGATATATTAAAGTCAGCAAAGGAAACTGGGGGGAAGATTGGAAATCCCACTCCTTATAATACAGATGGTATAGTACTTTTAAAGTGTGCATGGATGAAGGTAAGAAACTGTAATAAACAGCCTCTGGAAGCCCCTCATGGTGTTTGTTCCACTTTTAGGTAAGACTTCATCTCCACAGAAGGTGTCATCAAGTACCTATGTTCCAGAGTCCCCTCCGTCTGCTGCCGTGCCTGGACCCTCCTATAGGAACTACAGCTGTGAGTTTTTTTGTCAAACACTTTGTATATGAATCATGGTAATATAAGATAATACTGCTGCCATTTCCTGCTTGTTATTTAGTCACTTGTGTGGCAGAAGCACCTTTTCATTGTGTTGACATCAGCACTACTTTATATCTCACTGTATCAGAATAAATCGCTTATAGTGCAAAACAATGGCTTTTGAGAACCTGAAGAAAAAGTGAGTGTACTTATTCATTTACAATATGTGCCATTCATTATATGATATGCAGCACTGTGCAGATGCTTTGAGGAACCCCTCATCTCTTCATATTTTGCCTCCAAGCAGCCAGATTTTCTTTTAGGTTTTTAAAGTGGTCTTGAGCAATAGTTCTCGTGTTTTTTTTCCTTTGGGTGTTGTCTTCATTTTCTCTAATTTTTCAGTCAGTCCTTGTAGCTGAGCATTTTCAGAGGAATGTTTTTTTTTTGAGCCACTTACACAGACCTATCGATCATTCATGCATAAAACAGCAACTTAGCTCAATATATGAACCAGTTTTGCATCTGCACATGACAGGCAACTTAGCAAAGAAATAATTTTAATTAGTATTTGTAGTTGAATCCCCCCAAAAAACAAGCCAAAATTTGAGATGCATAAAGTGGTAGTTTTGCATCAGTAGACGCAGGATCCAAAAGTTTATTCCCTCAAAGTGACTCGATCTGCTGTGTGTGTGTACTGCTCACACATTTGGGAAACAACAGCAGTAAAAGCTTTGCTTTCAGAATGATCAGGATGAAGCTATTAATAGTAAGGCCAAAAACATGATCCAACAAGCCGCAACATTAAGACGGCCTGCTATATATAGTGTATGATCCCGTCATGCTGTGTAAAAAGCTCTGGTGGCATCATGTGGTGTTTGGCAGGACACCACTGGGTTGTGGTTTGGGGCCTTTGTGGTTTGGGCTTGTTCTGGTGAATCCAGCAATTGCTCAACATGATTGGTTAATGCCTTAGGCCCTTTTCAGTGTTCCTGGTGTCAGTACCAAGCAGTGGGGTGCATGGCTGGCTGGAGGAGGCCACTGCCATAAGAAGGATTATGCTTGGTCTCTAACATTATATATGTAGGTGGTGTCAAAGTGTGCCAAGGCCTGAGGTTTTCCTGCTCTTGGATTATGGATATCATTTACTTGCTTTGCAGATTACAGTATTTAATTACCTCACTGATTTAAAACAAGTCCTCATTTAGCCGTACTTACCACAAGGTCTTTAATGAGCTACAAATCATTTTTGTCATCTACAATTCATATATTGTAGTGGTATAGAGCACCTAATCATGTGTGTATAATATTAACAGAGAACAAAGGAGGGTTTTGTTTTAGCTTAAACATACAATATTTGGTCCAGTTATTTCAGGGACAATTAGAATATTATTTCTTAATAAAACCTAATCTTGCCAACAGAGGGAGCCAAGCACCCTTTAAGCAAATGCTGCTGACAGTTGATTTGCAGTCTTCTCACTGTTTTCACCCCAAACTGCAGCTATAATTTGGTGGAGAACAGAGACTTGGAAAGACATTGCTAACCAAACAGTACATCCTGATGTCCATCCCTTTGATATTCATAGCAGTTCAGTGTTCAAAGGCTGTAGTCTGGGGGTGGGTTAAGAACTAGATAAAGCAGGATCATAAGGCACACTGTGGTAGCCACAGGAAATGCTAAATGAATGGTAGACTGAAGTCGCTTTAGTCTAAGTACCTTTTTTCATAACACGTTGGGTACTTAAATCATATTTACAGCTCAGCCATCAGAGCGGCAAACTATCTTGTTGCCCACTGGCCACTGGGGGAGTCCATAACTCACTTCTTCCTCTATTTTACCACCAACCAGAGTTTTGTAACATTTTAGGAGCCCCAAATGATACTCACTTTCCTGCCACAGTAGCTGTTGCCATGTATCATGCCTAAAGTAGTCTGCATTTTATTGGATCTGCTTTTATTAGCTTAGCCTTTGTTTCACTCAGTTGTTTTATACCACCACCAACTACGCTTAGCATTGACATTGATTTTGTTATGTGGCAGAAACATACCCGATAGTCCTTCTCGGTGGAGGATGTAGGCATGTGGGTGGATAATGAGTGCTTAGTATATTGCGCGTGTTTGTGCATGTGTAGGTGTCTGTCTGTGTGCTCGTGTTGTGACTGAGGGAGCTTGTGTGGGCCGGTGGCTCCTCCAGTTCATGGCTTCATGAATATTGTGTTGTGGACTGAATCCTGTGTTGCGGTGCACACGGAGAATCGGTGCGGGGGGTTGAGAGAGAAGTCAACTAATTTGACTCAGCAAAGACGAGGCTCCGTATTAACTAGTTCATCAGACTCCTTTCCTCATTACATCCTTTGATCTGTGTTGCTTCAGAGATTCAACCTGATAGATGAAAACTGCTCCTCTATTTAATTGTTCTGTTGATGAAGGGGTCTTGTGCATAAATTCTCAAGCCTTTTCTCCTTTTTAATGCGACTTAGTGATTGATTGTTTCATTATTTTTCTAAATTGCATTCTTACTAAGTCGATGCATTTTTGAGCGTTTCCAAGACTGCTAAATGCCACAAATCAAGCATTTCAATTGAGCTTTGGGTTATGTAATGGCTCATGGGGCTGTTGTTGTATTTGAGGGTTTTGATTCAAACCTCTGTGCAGACGTCCCAGTCTTTGAGCAACATACTGACTCCCTGGGTGCCTCCATTTGGCTAACTTGGCTCATTACTTCTTTCAATTATGTCTCTTTCTTGTACTGTAGCTCCGTGCAGCAGGGATCCTATTGGCAGAGAAGCCTAAGATGCAGGGAAGAGACACAAAGATGTAGGATATGTACCGGTATTTACCAAACAGCACATCCTCTTTAACTCTTACACCATTTTCATGAGATGGCTATCACCCATGTAGACGTAAGGTTAAGAAATATTAAAACGAAAATATTAGAGGTATTAACTGAAACTCTACGACTGCTGCTCCTGTGCTTTATGTAGATATATATGTAGATATATTCATACATTAGAGCAGGGATGTCAGACTCTCTTTACATTATGAGCCACATACACTACACTTTGAACACTTAACCAGTGAAACGACATGATAAATTGTTAAAATTACAGAAAAAGTTCTAGTAGCTCCATGCCTAGACTGGTTTTCTTAATTCTCAGAAAATGTCTTTACTGTGGACCCACTAAAAATATGGAAATTTCTTTAGTTGATAGAGGACACCTTTCATGTGGGCCAGAATGAAGTCTTTGGTGGAACAATTCTGGCCTCCAGGCCTTACGTTTGACACCACTGCATTAGTGCATAATGAAACAAAACCCATTACTAAAACAATAGAAAAGGATGTCGCAGTGAAGTTTATTAATGGTTGGGCCAAACAATAATTCACTGTGCAGCTTTATACGACATGCATTTCTCCTGAATGAGCCCAAATACAAACACTTAACATACATGTTATCCATTTAAGAACTGGAACATATTTGATGATGCAAACCTAAGATCAGTTCTAAAATCACAGACCAGAGGACAGAGAGGACAGAGGAGTGAGAAACTGGAGGAAGTGTACAGTAATTGGCTGAATGGAAAGCTGCTGTAGGCATTGTGCTCTGTAGAGACTCCTGACCTTTGACACCTCGGGAGTAGGAGGATGCTGTTAGAAAGACTTTTCCTGTTGAAGATTTTGTGGCATTTATTTTAAGTGTTTTGAGCGTCTAGTTGTTTGAGAGCACCTCTTAGGTTCGCAGTCCTCTCTCACTTAAACATAACAGAACAGAAAAAAAACCAAAAAAACAGCAGTAGGTGTGAAGTCAGAGGCCACGACACAGTTGTCACAGGTAGTTCTGTGTTCCCATTTAAATATTCATCAGCAGCTATCTCTTGAAATAGAGTCTTCTCAAACTGCTTCGTAGATGATATTTAAATTCCAAAAAGATATCTGCACTCACTAAAGTGCGGTTAAAATAATATCCATAATTCATCACTAACCATTCTCTGTAGGTTTCTTTTTCCCCCACACAACTCTTTCCCTTTTGCCCTCACTCTGATGAACACACACACACACACACACACACACACACACACACACACACACACACACACACACACACACACACACACACACGTTTTCATTCTTTCTCATTCACGTTCTCTTTTTTTGTTATTATTATTTCCTTTTCATCCATACTGTATATTCCCCTCTTAGTGTATACTCATCACAGTCCGCTCTTTAACAACAGGAGCTGTCGAATATGGTATTGGCATACATATTAGAAGCCTGCATTGATCTAAGCCACAGAAAACGAGCATCCTTGATAAAGCTCTGCCCCCTCTTTGCTGTTTTTCAGTCCATTCCCGATTCCCACCACCTATCATCTCCTCATCTTCTCTTTCGCCACCAGTTCTCTCTTCCTAACTCTCCATCCAGATAGCGTGTGTATGAATATTGATGTTAATTACCCCTCGGCTGAAAATAGCTGTTCAATCTGTGAATTTCCCCAAGGAATTTGATCATGAGGTGCACACACACACAGAAAGGAGGGTATCATCGAGGTGCATATTTGTTGTGCTTTACAACCGGAGCTTAAATCAGAGGGAGTGGTCTCGGTGGACCTGATTCGCTTTATCCCTGAAAATCCCCGCACACCCTCCTTTCCAAAAAATACTGCTGCTCAATATGGCATGTTATTCCTGCCAAAAGAAGCAATTGCATAAAAAATATTGTGTCAGCAGATAAGTGTTTGGGTTGAATCATACTGATGGGGCTGATGCTACTTCATTGTGGGAGGTGAGATAGCACCTTATGAGTCTGTGGGTTGGTCCAAACTGTTGTATCTTGCAAAGAAGAACACAAAATTTGTGGAGTTTTTTTTTTTTTTTTTAAATTTTATACAAAGAAAACTTCGTCTTAACTTAAAAAAAATACAGTTGTGTTGATTTATTTCTATGTGAGGTAGTTAAATTAGTCCTGAGTTGAGTATGCACGTAACAAAGACAGAAATAAGATCAACGCTGCAAAATTAAATTCCATAAATTACATATTATGCTATTGAATCACTCTCAGCTTGAGTAATTACACATTAGCGTTCATATTGATATTTTCTGACAATTTTAGCATTTAGTGGTTGAAGTAGACACAGGACGAGAAATATGCAATCATTGATTATTAACCTCCCATATTCTCTCCTACTGATCTAGAATAACTGCTCTGTCTTTGACTCAGTCTAAGTTAAAAAATAATCATGGCGCATGAACATAATTAAGGCAAGTATGTTTGCTTTCTTGGCCATGAGACCGATAGTCTGATAACTAATTCAAATTATTCTTTCTCCTATGACTGAAAGGCACGTACAGATATAGTAATTATGAAATTAATAATTGATTGGCAGCCTTACCCGAAGAAGAAAAACATTTTTATTAATTGGCACAAACCGATGTTAACAGGGAATTAAGTAACTCTGAGCATGCATCTCTGTTGGGAGAATTTAACTTTTTCAGGCGTTTTATTATTTTGGCAGCTGCTCACAGATCAGATGATAATACTACCACTAATGTTTAATCCTAGCTGAAATTTTTGGCAGCGTGTTTCAGATTGTATTGCCTAATAGCAAACTGGCAGGTGCTCTACCACTGTAGTTGGGCTAATAAATACCTCACAGTGGTTGGAGCTTTGATAGAGTTAATGAAAAACTATTAACAAGCTACTTTTGCAACATAAGAGACATAGCTTATGCAGGTATTAAATAGAATGGAAACTAATGTTTGGTAGTCTCACCGGATGTGGGATCGTGCTACATACGTTAATAGTCCAAGTTTTAAACCTATAAATCAACAGTAAAATAACACTGAGAAAATCAGCAAGTCTTCTCATTTCAGAAGTTTGAACCAGCCAGTGTTTGCCATTTCAGTTTGAAAATGGCTTTTGTGGTGAATCCATTTCCAAGATTGTTGATGATCTCTTTCAGCAATATTAAATTACCATGTTGTTAATGTGCAACACTCTTTTAAGTATCTTCTTTGTGTTTCAGCTCCCAGAGGCAGAGGAGGAAGTTTTACGGGAAAAACACCCATGAAAGCTTCTCCCATGAAGGCCTCAGCTATTAAAGCATCACCCAGTAAGGGCTTAACTATGAAGGTTTCACCCATGAAAGCTTCGCCCATGAAGGCCAACAGCGCTTCTCCAGGTTCTTCAGCAAAAGTGAATCCTATTGCAAGCCTCAACCCCTACCAAAGCAAGTAAGTGCAAGTGATCTCGGTCTAAATTTGCTCACTTTTATATACATCAGGGGTCTAAGACTCGTTTTAGCATGCAGCTCAAATGTATTTTAAGTTGGTCAGACCTAGGAGACAGTGACTATAAAAAAATAAAGACAACCAAATGCTTTCTAATTATTTTAGTGTGAAGACGAACCCTTAGATTGTGAGGCATTCAATTTTAACTGTTCAGTTTTGTATTTATTTCCACATTCAGTCGTGTGTCATTACAAAGAAACAGAACTGTTGGAACGTGCTGACATGTCTCTGTAGCTTAACCACCTTACTTTGGTATATTATGGCGGGCGGTAGATAGTGTTGTTGTATCTCAGAAGAATATAAAACAGATAAATCAAACATCTGGGTAAAAAAAAATGAACAATTTGGACATTTTGCTGTGGGCAGGATTGGACCTTTTAGTGGCCACTTGTACCTTACATTAGACACCCTTCACATGCATGTACTGTGTGTGAGTTAAGTTCTGTAGCAGATCATTGTAAAGTTGTGAAGTTGAATCTGACTTGCCCATATTTCTTCCTAATATCCAAACAAACTTTAAGCTGTATATGTTTGTGATTTCACTTTGATTTTGTTGCTTTTCTGCTCATCAGCTAAACTACTTTCTCTCACGCTGTGACTCTGCTTCCCCGCTTGCTACCATTTCTTGGTAGCACTTTGGGGCATGTGTTGACGCATGCATGTATGAGCATTCATTTTTTTTCGCTCACAATGTGTGTGGCTGTGTGAACTTGAGTGTGCATATGTTATACAACCCATTTGCATGGAAATGAAATGAAATGACCGATATTGCCTTGGAAACGGACACTTTTGCAGCAGGTACTGCTGGGTCTTTATGGTCTGCTGCTGAGGTTTTGATTTTGTTATTTGGCCCGGTGGGGATTTGGCTAACCACGTTTTTTCCCTTTTCCTTCCCTCTTACAGTTTCACCTCCAGGGTTCGCTTTTACTGCACCCTCCCCCCCACCCTCATGTTTCTTATCGTTTCATTAGGCATAAGTCTCTGTCTCTGACCTTAAAGTTAGCTACAAAAAGACAAGAGCACAGAATAACAAGCTCTAGTTGTAGTGAAGGCACCCTGTCAACTCTCTCTGTGTTTGGGCACTGATAACGTAGCACTGTTTGAAATTGTAGGCTGTAAAGATAACTGTGCCTCTAGGTGTTGTAATAAACTGATGACTGTTCCTACTTTGAAGTTGGGGAGTACCTACAGTGAGTAAAACAGATGACTTCAGCAGATGTAGTCCTTCTATGAACATTTGGGTGAGATTAAAAGTGGAGGTTTGTTGTCGTTGTGTGACACAGTGTTACATGCAGTGGATTATATAGTGATGCTTTCTATGTGTGCAAGGTCTTTTATGGCTGTTCGCATGGCTTTCCCCATCCCATTCTGGTGTTGTTAAGTAAAAGCATCTAGAGCAGACTATAATTGGCTTTTGACTGTCATAAACCTTGGTGTAGCAGTCTTATCCATACTGAGCAGGAAATAGGGTTCACTCGAGGCCAGCAGCTGCTCTTATGATAGGGGATTTAATTGCAGGCAAAGTTATAGTAAGAATATCCTCCACTGCAAAATTATCAATGCAGTCAAAAAGAATCCTGCTTCATAAAGCGCAGAGCATGGCTGGCTGTTGTTAAAAACAGAACAAGAAGCACATCCAGGACTTGGCAGATGTACAACAACCAGTTCACTCTTTGAAAAGAAAGTTGTGATATGCTTTATTTTTCCCTTTCACTGAACTTTAAAAAGACTGTGAGACACTCATTCAATTTCCTAGGAAATTGTTCTTTTTGTGCAGTTGTGTTACACATTGGTGACTGATGTGTGCCGAGCTGGAATGTTCATTAACAAAAAAGGAGGCTTTTTAAAGTGTCTGCCGTAGGGCTGTTCGATATAACGATATATATCGGATGACGATATAAAAACGTCTGTCGTTTCATTTTACGCTATCATTTGTTTCATGGTGTTGCAAAATACACTGTTTATGGCAATATTTTTTTCATCGTTTTGATGGTCACTGTAGTGGCTATATTCTTAAAGTTCTCTCTTTCTCTTATATTTAATATAAACACACTATGGACGGAGAAGCGCCTGTTTTTATGGGTTGTCGTTAGCAACAACGATGGTAAAACCATCGCATGTCCACTTGTTTATTTTCCACATAAAGCTTTCACAATAAAGCTCAAGATCCTGTTGAGACTTTTCAAAATAAACGGAATCACGTGAAAAAGTATGCAGAGTATTGACGGATGAGAAGCAAAAAAGAGTCGTCAGGTGCTAAAAAAATCAACCTTAGACTCAAACGTTAGAACAGGCTTTCCCCCGCAGCACGCCGTGTAATAAATACTCACAAAGAAAACGGCGGGCGTTACAACCTATGTCTAAAAATGTGTAGTTTCATGCATCGGTTAAAACACTCGACTCCAGGTACACGACGCCCAGCTGGAAACACTTCACCTACCCGAGATTCACAGAATTTACAGAAAATATTAATTCTTTTGTGATTTATATCGTTATCAGGCGATAAAGGTTTTATATCGGGATATGAGATTTTGGTCATATCGCATAGCCCTAGTCTGCAGTATTATTTACTGTTTGACCTTTAGACTTATTCCTTTAGTTAAGTTTCACACAGCTGTGCTGTTAAAGGCAACTTATTTGCAGTAATTTGTTATTTTTAACAAAGTATTTATATTAAATGTCCTGTTTGTATTTGCATAATGAATATCTGATGATGGAACACGGTGGAAGGGATTTGTGCATTTACAAGGTACAGGGCTTTAATGAACCAAGGATTTTTATTTGACAGAAATTCTCCACTTATAACGTCTCATTCATTCATACAAGCACTTTTTATACAAGTGCTTTCTATCTAACATTCACAGTCTAATGAGTGCATTAGGAGCAACTTACAACACTCTTCCCTTAAAAGTAAATACTGTCCAGAAAGTGAGCTACCTTGGTGGAGGTTTGTGTGCTTAAAACAAGAGTGCTTCTTTTTTTAAAGTGAAATCATACCAGCAGACTGAGCAATTTTTCCATTCATACAAAAGAGGAAGTTTCACATCGAGCTTGGTCTAGGTGAACCTACTTCTACCAGCAGACACTGGAGCCAGTGAAGCTGTAGCCATAGCCTAAAGCATCAAAGATTAAAGTTGGTGGAACATCATGCAGGCTAGTTACAGTAGCTTAACTTAAATGGATCAGCTCTGTATGGTATAGATGCTTTTTTGCCTTATGAAAGTAGCACCGGTGATTTAGTGACCAATTATCGAGCCAGATGAGAGCATATTGACCAAACAATTGACAATACTTTGGTAAGTAGTTAGTGTGCCAAGGCCAGTGAGTTCTCAACAAGTCAGTTTTTTATGGTTTGTCATCTAAAATAACTTTGATCTTGTGCTAAGATGATATATTTTTGACATACGACTGGCATCCTGTCCAGGGTGTACCCTGCCGCTCGCACTACGTGAGCTATGACAGGCTCCAGCCCCCCAGTGACTCAGAATTGGATGGATGGTCGAATGGGCTTTAATACAATCACTGCCAAAGACAAAATTATCTAGCAATCAGTCTTTTTATAATATACAATAGTGTTATTTGTTTTATAGTCACAGAACAAAATTGCTCTAGGAGGTCTTGAATGATTAGTGATTTATCAGTCACTGATTAATACAGATTCATTTTTATTTTTTTTCTATAGGTGGACTATCAGAGCCAGAGTCACCAACAAGTCGAGCATTCGCACGTGGAGTAACTCCAAAGGAGAGGGCAAGCTCTTCTCCTTTGAAATAGTGGATGAGAGTGTAAGTAGAGGAGTAGAGAGGTCTTATTAAATCTGACTGTTGCATCTTAATATGGTCACACATGGCTGATTTTTGCCTTCTATGTGCAATGAAATGGTGTTAAATGGAAACGTGCTTGTCAACAGGGTGAAATCAAGATCACTGCTTTCAACAAGGAAGTGGACAAGTTTTTCTCTCTAGTGGAGCAAGGCAAGGTGAGCAGATCCCAGTCATCTGTATCCACACTTGAAGCGATAAGTGCTTCCTTGGAAATTTCAGGCAAAAATTATACGTTTTACATGTGTTTACACTGAGTTTTATGACTCAAGAGTGTAAAGAAAGGTTTGCGCTTGCATTCGAGCCAATAAATCTGACTGAATACTCATTTTGACAAAAGAAAGACGATCTTAGAGGCTGTAAAAATTTACACACTGCTTGCGGCTTAAGTCTCAGGTATTTATTTTGTATGCACACACAGGTCCTCAAACAACATCGGTGAAATACTGCCTAATAAAATCCTTCTGTAAAATCTTCTCATGTCTGGAGGACTTTTCGATTTTATAGGGGAGACTCCTTAAGTCATTTTTGCTAAAATATATACCTGTGTGTTTGAGACATATTGAGCAGTGTGGATACAGTGGGGAAAAAAAGTATTTAGTCAGCCACCGATTGTGCAAGTTCCCCCACTTAAAATGATGACAGAGGTCAGTAATTTGCACCAGAGGTACACTTCAACTGTGAGAGACAGAATGTGAAAAAAAAATCCATGAATCCACATGGTAGGATTTGTAAAGAATTTATTGGTAAATCAGGGTGGAAAATAAGTATTTGGTCAATAACAAAAATACAACTCAATACTTTGTAACATAACCTTTGTTGGCAATAACAGTGCTACTATGGGTCTTTACCAGGTTTGCACACACAGTAGCTGGTATTTTGGCCCATTCCTCCATGCAGATCTTCTCGAGAGCAGTGATGTTTTGGGGCTGTCGCCGAGCAACACGGACTTTCAACTCCCGCCACAGATTTTCTATGGGGTTGAGGTCTGGAGACTGGCTAGGCAACTCCAGGACTTTCAAATGCTTCTTACGGAGCCACTCCTTTGTTGCCCGGATGGTGTGTTTTGGATCATTGTCATGTTGGAAGAGCCAGCCTCGTTTCATCTTCAAAGTTCTCACTGATGGAAGGAGGTTTTGGCTCAAAATCTCACGATACATGGCCCCATTCATTCTGTCCTTAACACGGATCAGTCGTCCTGTCCCCTTGGCAGAAAAACAGCCCCATAGCATGATGTTTCCACCCCCATGCTTCACAGTAGGTATGGTGTTCTTGGGATGCAACTCAGTATTCTTCTTCCTCCAAACACGACGAGTTGAGTTTATACCAAAAAGTTCTACTTTGGTTTCATCTGACCACATGACATTCTCCCAATCCTCTGCTGTATCATCCATGTGCTCTCTGGCAAACTTCAGACGGGCCTGGACATGCACTGGCTTCAGCAGCGGAACACGTCTGGCACTGCGGGATTTGATTCCCTGCCGTTGTAGTGTGTTACTGATGGTGACCTTTGTTACTTTGGTCCCAGCTCTCTGCAGGTCATTCACCAGGTCCCCCCGTGTGGTTCTGGGATCTTTGCTCACCGTTCTCATGATCATTTTGACCCCACGGGATGAGATCTTGCGTGGAGCCCCAGATCGAGGGAGATTATCAGTGGTCTTGTATGTCTTCCATTTTCTGATGATTGCTCCCACAGTTGATTTTTTCACACCAAGCTGCTTGCCTATTGTAGATTCACTCTTCCCAGTCTGGTGCAGGTCTACAATACTTTTCCTGGTGTCCTTCGAAAGCTCTTTGGTCTTGGCCATGGCGGAGTTTGGAGTCTGACTGTTTGAGGCTGTGGACAGGTGTCTTTTATACAGATGATGAGTTCAAACAGGTGCCATTCATACAGGTAACGAGTGGGGGACAGAAAAGCTTCTTACAGAAGACGTTACAGGTCTGTGAGAGCCAGAGATTTTCCTTGTTTGAGGTGACCAAATACTTATTTTCCACCCTAATTTACGAATAAATTCTTTACAAATCCTAACATGTGAATTCATGGATTTTTTTTTCACATTCTGTCTCTCACAGTTGAAATGTACCTCTGGTGCAAATTACTGACCTCTGTCATCATTTTAAGTGGGGGAACTTGCACAATCGGTGGCTGACTAAATACATTTTGCCCCACTGTAAATATATGAAAGATACCCATGAAGCTGACATATTTCAAGAAAATCTTATGGGCTACTAAATATTTGTGTACATTTACCTGCAGATGAATAATCTTTTAATATTTTTACGGGATGAATTGCTAGATGTTTCTTTATCTATTTGCTCCTATGTTGCTTACGATTTGTGTAGTCTTTTGTCTTATTCATCCATGCTTCTGAAAAACTGACTTGGCTGCAGTTACTTGAATACATACCCAAAGGTTTACCCTTTATTTAAAGATTCAGTCTAGTGGATAAATCCTGTGGTAATTTAGGTATAAAAGAGGCTTTCGTCACACTGAGTTTCATTGCACTACAAGCAATGTCTCTTTTCGCTTCAAGTTTAGAGGGTGAGCATGATTAAAATGACCAGTAACCCCCCTCAATGTGCAAATGGGCATGTATGATTGAATACTAGAAAGTCGAGCACTGATGCTTATGTGTGTCTCTGCCAAACCAGATGGTCTTAAAGAATCTTGGAAATATCATGTGGTAATAGGATCATCTTTTGACCAGAGGGCCCTGGTTCAAACCCCGTGTCAGAAAGTATCCATATTAGAAAGAAATGCTACGCCTACAAGCTCCAGCTGCACTCACATAACTGACACAGACACTGATCCTTGGGCTTACTGCAGGGCTGCAAATCAAACAAGATATTTGATCAAATTTAAGTATGGTTATAAAAATTCCAAATGATAGTAAGGAATAATTATTTATTAATTATAAGAATTTTATTAAATCATTGCATCTTGCTTTCAAGTGGCTACATTCATAAAAACACGATCAGTGAGACAGATTCATGTAATAGTGCTGCAGATAAGTAAAACAATCTTTCAAAAGTGGATACAAATGCCAAAATTTTCATGTTTGTCTCTATGCAGCCATTAATCTGAGAAATCCCATTAGCCACTTCAATTTTACGAATTTTAAACATTTCCAGTTTGGCTATTATTTCTATTACTACACAATTTCAGCCAATACATTTCTGAGGTTTTAGTCTTGATTTATAAGCTCTGTACTTCACTATACGTAAAAAACTTCTTCAGGCTTTTTTTTTCCTCTTTTTTTTTTTTTTTTTGCCTGTCCCATTTGGTTCTTTTGCCATCAGAATTATTGTCTAAAGGCGAGGAAAGATGCCCAACGGATTGACCATTGACCAAATTGACCATCCCAGCCTTGCCATAATGGTCTATTTGATTCACCTTTTATTGTTTATTTTATTTATTTTTTTATTTT